TCTAATATAACTTATTATTAAAATGCTGTTTATATATTATACTTTGTTCATTCATATGATAGTAACGGTGCTAGACATTTAAGCAACTGATTACAAGGTCAATATGATAATATATACTAGCCACCCTTGCGATAGAATTCTTTTCCAATGCAGTTTGTAATGATAATATGACATTTAGGCGGTTTAGGTAGCATCACGATGTCAGCTTTCATGGTAGAAAATAGTAAGGTTTATTGTAGTAACATCAATGCAGATAAATCCATTGTTTTTAAAAACCTGCGTTTTATTAATCCATACGCTAAACTGAGATTCACCTTGTAGAATCGTCTGATATTCACAATAATGAGTTATAGTTTCTGAAAGGTACAAAAACTTCATTTCTTAATTGAACTAATTTAAGCGAATACACTATGTATTTGTCTTCCATACTGACTTATCCTTTTAATATTATCTAAAATTCCAAGTCATAAACAATGCATAATTTTGAAGTTAGCTAGTCTGTCACATGATTAGCATGTTATGTTGTAGTACTCGTCAAAAACAAAGAACAAAACACATAAATATTGTAGATAACACAAAACGAATTACAAGCAGTAAGAAGTGATAGTGTATTTCTATGCTAAACATATGCGAACGTTTGCTAAATCCACAATATGTCTGCCGATATTTGATAGCTACACAAGTTATGGGACATACTTATTAAACTTAATACAGAAAGTATATACCATGTGTATATTACAATATAACTAAGTTTATCCTCAATAAAGATGATACAAGAATTATTATTTTATCTTGTAAAATAAGTAGAATATATTATTTAAATTTAGTCATATTATTTTGAAGGGTATTTCATTCAAATTCTTTTTCACTAAAAAATACACTTTGAAATGAAAACAAACTTTAATCACAAGTTGTGGTTCATTGGTTATACTGTGAATCTGTACACTTTATAATATCAGTGTAACATAAACGTGATTTGGTTCAAGTCTTCAAATAAATATAGATAAACAAAAGTTAATTATACGCTTTACGTAGTGTTATATATATTACTATTTACTTACTTACTTACTAACGCCTGTTACTCCCAATGGAGCTTAGGCCGCCGACCAGCATTCTCCAACCCACTCTGTCCTCCGCCTTCTTTTCTAGTTACATCCAATTCTTGTTCATTCTTCTGATGTCTATCTCCATTTTCCGGCGTAATGTGTTCTTTGATCTTCCTCTTTTCCTTTGGCCTTGAGGATTCCATATGAGGGCTTGTCTTGTGACACAGTTGTGTGCTTTCCTTAACGTGTGTTCTATCCACTTCCAGCGCTTCGTCCTGATTTCCTCCTCCACTGGGATCTGGTTTGTTCTCTCCCACAGTACGTTGTTGCTAATAGTGTCCGGCCAACGGATCTGAAGTATTTTGCGTAGACAACTGTTAATAAACACCTGTATCTTCTGGATGATGGCTTTCATAGTTCTCTAGGTTTCTGCCCCATACAATAGAAGTGTCATGACATTTGTTTTGAAAATCCTGACCTTGGTGTTGGTTGACAGTTGTTTTGAGTTCCAGATGTTCCTCAGTTGTAAATATGCTGCTCTTGCTTTAACAATCCGCGCCTTCACAGTTCCATCAGATCCACCATGTTCATCAATGATGCTGTCCAAATATGTAAAGGTTTTTACATCATCCAAAGCCTCTCCGTCAATTGTGATTGGATTGGTGCATGCTGTGTTGTATCGGAGAATCCTGCTTTTCCCTTTGTGTATATTGAGACCTACTGCTGCTGAGGCTGCTGCTACACTGTTCGTCTTTTCCTGCATTTGTTGTTGCATTTGGGATAGAAGGGCCAGATCATCTGCGAAGTCTAGATCGTTCAACTGCATCCTAGATGTCCATTGTATCCCGCGTTTCCCTTCAGATGTTGACGTCTTCATGATCCAGTCGATCACCAGGAGAAAGACAAAGGGTGAGAGTAAGCAACCTTGTCTAACACCGGTCTTCACTTCGAACGACTTTGTCAACTGTCCTCCATGCACGATTTTGCAGTGTAATCCATCATATGAACTCTGTATGACATTGACTGTCTTCTGAGGCACGCCGTAGTATCGAAGAAGCTTCCATAGTATTGTCCTGTTCACGCTGTCAAATGCCTTTTCGTAGTCAATGAAGTTGATGTAGAGTTATATATATATCTTAATTGTTGTACTCTTATTGATAAAGAATTTTAAAAAATTAAGGAAGAAATGGTTGATTAAATAGAAAATAAGACGGTAGTCATGTCTAACAGTTCTTCGATTAAAACCAGTACAACTGATTTAAATAACAAATATTTAAAAATAAGTACACTATATCTAAAATGGATTAAATACTACTCCTCCATTGGATTAAATTACGTTCGATGTATGTGCGAATAGCTTCTTATCTAATGTAGTAGAGCACTGTAAATAGTGTGATTATTACATAATATCGCTAAACGAAATGAAGTAATTCATTATTATTTTGCCCGTAATTAAACACTCGAATGAGAGATTGCATTATTTTTTAATATAAAGGTAACAAATCTAGTTAATATCGAATATACGTTTACTTACTTTTCGTTTGTGCCAATTTTAACTTGTGTTGAGTAGAAACGTAAACTCTGAATCTTCTCTAAGAAATAAATAATCTTTTTTTAAATCTACCATTTGTCCATTCAATAATGATCCAGGTTGAGGTATAAGAAATTCTTAATGGATTTTATCTCGATGTTTCAATCATTAGGATTTCGTCGAACCTTTGGGTTGTCATAAAGAGGTTTTTTGTTTGTTTTAGAAAAATCAAGAAAATGAGTATACAAACATGCTATTTTTGTACATATAAATTGTCATTAAAAAGTAAGCGACATGAAAAACCGCATTTGAATCATTTTTACTTGATATATCCCATTGTCGAATATGACTAACCATTGAGGTTCATAATTACATTGCTGGCAATCAATAAGACATTGCCATGAGGTTTGACTTAGTCTTTTTATGTTCACTAATAAATTATCCCCAAGTTGTCAAAATATAATTCAGTTCCAATGAATATATATATTTTAAATGATAAAATGTGATGATTATTTCCCACAAAGTTTTTTATCCATCAAAAATTGCATTCGTTTTATCACTGATCTGAAATCAAACTGATAAAAGAACAAATTACTATTTTTTCAGGTTGTTCGTCCTATGATTCTGTGTCTTTGTAAACAATAATTGAAACAGTAATCAATATTTATATGGAGTTTGTAACATGAACTCAATATGTTATCAATATAATTTATAAATTAGTGTTTTGTATAAACCATAAGTAAAAAGGCTGTTCAGTTTGAGCTTTCCTTCTTGAAAAGATTGTAAACTAATAAGAAAGAAAATTTGGATAGACCTAATTTTACTGATTTATAATAAGAAAGAAATTCACCAGTATACTTATGTATTGGACAGTTGTTTCGGCCTAGTATAGAACTACTGATCACGGTATATCTAACTCAGGACTTTTGGTCTTGCGTAAGAGCTCTTAACTTCCAGATAAATTGAAGCAACTTATATGTTGGGCTCTCTGGCTATCAGTCACTAAGTTCCAAGTTCAAACCTCACTGTTCCCTGCTTCGGTTTATAGAACCATCAAACATCACTAGCCCTCAGACTTATATTGTAGCTCATAGTTGAATCCCTACCTAGTGAGTTGTTCTACTGAGTGCTCATACTGTTTGAATTCAGTATAACCTACGTTATCAAATCAGTAGACTCCAATAACCAGTATAGGATATAAAATATATACATGGTTTCAATCTTAAATGTTTTACTGAATAAACCGATAGCTCTGAAGTATCAAACCAATGACTTGACTTTTATAGGTAGTATTAATCAATATAAAAGAATTTCGAATGGTTTATGTATAAGCTGAATATTTGTGGACCTATCAATATATGTAGCCTTTATGTGTTTATTCTTATCTAGTGTTGTACTTATTCACTTTTAAGAGCTCTTAGTTTGGAATAAAACAACTGGCTAATACATGCTGCTTTAATACAATATTTTAAATGAAATAAACTGTTTGAAATCTAAAAGTCATTGTTATTAGTATTTACAAAGTTTTCAAAGTAAATGAATAATTTTGTTCAAATTCTTAATTAATTTAATTTTTTTTCTAATTTTTAATTAAAATTAGATTTTGAAACGATCAGTTTTTACCCCGGATCTTTTTATTTAGATCTTTAGATCACATTACTTAGCACTTAAGGAGATGTTTTTACCAAACATAAAAATATCGTGAATTGTCCTTTTCTTCGAATCACTTTCTAAAAGAGTAACAAAATTAAAATCAAATTGTAATTACACAATTTGTTATTTTTATTTAATAATCATAATTCATAAGATATCAATAAGGTAGTAAATTTTGTTAGGAATATATTTAATTGTGTGAAACAACTGTATCCATTTTTGACCTTTTTTATAATTTGGAGTAAATGAAAAGTTTGATATATTTCCAAATAGATTTGGTGTTGGGTTACAACACAAGGTTATATTTCACCTATTGATCGACAAGGAAATTCAATTGTAAAGATAATATTTACCTCAAATTGGCATATACTGGGAAAATGTTTGAAAATGGATACCACAGTAGTGGACAATAATTTAGACCCAGTTTTGGATTTCAGTTGTTTGCTGTCAAATAGATTAAACCGCAACTAAAACTAATAATATTGACACCAGACACAGAAATAAACCGAAATTATGAAAATATATTTAAATGAAATGTCTGTTAATGTGTGGCAACGAAGAAATACATTCAGTTGAAAATATAAATATTGTTGACAAAATTATTTACAATCTACGTTTTTTGATAAACACGATGTAACCGATTTCACATTTTAATATTTGTCATTTGCTTAGACATTCAGAAATGACTCCACATTAAGAATACATTGTGTCAAGTAATTTTCTTCGTGTTGACAATGTTTGTTACTTTATACCTTTGAAATTTTTTTTAGGGAGAATGAATGCTTTGTGGCATGACGGTTCTTGGGATCCTTCTTGGGATACATGGTGGCACTACAAAGAAGGCGTAATGGGAGGTATGGATTAATTTTTGTTTTGGTCGATTTTCCATGTTCCACATATAAAGTTGGGTGAATATTTTAACATTTTTATAGCATTATCTTTATAAACTGCATGTAGAAAATGGACTGATATACACATAAAACACCATTTTGCTTTACCATGACAATCAAATCCGTAAAATTAAGAGTGATAATTTACAATGAAATTAACTTTTATTATCCAATATGATAAGAATAATGAATATGCACCAAACAATTATCATTAATGAATTTATTTGTCAGCATTTAACAATAAAAATGATTTATTCTTATACTTGATTTGAACAATCTAAATTACTATTAAACAACATGTCAGTTTTAGTACAAATATATTGATTCAATTCTCAAAGTACATCTGATCCATCGTGTTCTTAATTCTCATTTGTATGGAACAATCATTGACGGTAAAATATTACCGCATAATTTACATGACCTTAAGCGTTTACTGTTCTTAATTTAGCAATTAAAAAAATTCACATAGAATATTTAGAAACAGAAAATATTTGAGCAAACAATCGTTTTCAGTAACTTTATCATCCGTTTGTATCGGTTGTTTGAATCCTCCTCACTGATCTTTAGGACTGCAGTTGATAAGTTTCTTTTGCGATATGTGGATCCCGTGCGGATTAATTCAATATTCTCGTCAAGAAAGAAGCATTGTTCATTGACGTCCCAATTTAAACCTGGCGGCACTTATAGTCCAAATATATAAAAATTTTAAGTGAAGATTTTAATTATCATGTTGTCTATTTGATGTGATGAAAATGATGAATCAATGCTAATACTCTAAGAATCTATTTGAATATAATGTTTCTTCTGAAATCAATTCATTTTAAAATGTTTGAGCCTTATGTTTGATATTTAACATATACATCAATATTCAGTTACACGCAAATGACTTGAGCTATTTTTCCAATAATGAGACTCTTATCGAAAGATAAATTGAAGTTTACCGACTAATTATTAAACTCCAATAAAAAAGCCGTTTTTAAATCATTTTCTTCGTCTAATCATTTTTGTTTATTTTAATTGCAACATTTTCATGAAAAAAAAACAGTGAATTTCCAGTATTATGATTATTATGGCATATAAATTTAAAAATATTTTGGTCCATTTACTACTAGGTCCGAGTCATTGGGGACAGACAGCTTTCATGGCTATTGCCAATGACGTATGGCCAGCTTGTTATCAAGGGAGAATGCAATCTCCAATCAGTATCTCCACGAAACATCTACTATTTGATCCTAATTTGGTGCCATTGAAAATCTCAGGTTCAGATAAGCAAGTAAGTGTGAGATTAACTATTTACACCACAATGAATTCTTAAATATTTCGTTCTATATAAAGTGTCAGTTTAATTAGACGAATTCAGCATTATTTTAAGAGGCTGAAATAAAAATTGACTTTGTTATCCGGTAAAAGTGTTAAATTTACAAACTCTAATGGGAAACGTGTGTCTAAGCAAATGTTCGACTGTAAATTTTATCATGATTAGTTTGATATAATATAAAAGCTAAGATAAAGAGAAATAAAGTTTTCAATATAGTGACGAATTTCCTGAAAATCTTTAGAGAACGTTTTAAGTATAAACTGACTAGTTTCTGAAATGTGTTTGTTTGGTTTTTCAGTTAACTGATTTTTTATTCATAAACGAACATAAGAAATCAACCAAGAGTTAAATATTTGCTAAAAATGAAAATCAATCCATGCTACATATACGTAAAAAGACATACAAAGAAATTTAATGGTCTTACCCTGTGAAAAACCTCTATGAGATCCAAAAATTCGAAAACAAGCATTCCTACTAAAAGTGTCTTCAGAAGAAGGGAGAATTCATTTGAAGACTACAAATTCTGAACGTTCTATAAGTTGCAGTAACTGCATGAATCTTGATTCGCATTATACACATCTAAAAAACATCTCTGCTTGCATAATTGTGTAACTGACATTCAAGTTGTTCATTTCTAAATTATGTACTTTAGAACATTTTATGTTGTAAACTGAAGGAAGATCTAACCAAATTTGCTAGTGTAAAATTGCTTGTTATTCAAACCTAAGTTAATTTAATTCAATCAGTAGTAGAGCAGATTAAATGATGAAAAGTTACATCTCGATTTACTAACTCTTATGTAATTTTTTTTCAGATTGATGTGGAGGTAGTGAATACAGGACAAGATTTACAGGTGAAAATTCTCGATTCAATAGCATCAATTGTATTCAGTGAAGGACCATTAGTATATAGCTATAAATTCTTTGGAGCTTTAATCAAATTTGGTTCAAGATCAGATCGTGGTTCAGATCACCAAATTGATGGTATTGCTTTTCCCGCTGAGGTATCTGTCTACTGAAGAATTAAAAGAACATTTTGTATTAGATCTCATATTTATCTTTTAAAATGGTTAGTAGTTCTATCCATCACTACATAGATAAATAGCTGGTAATAACAAAATAGGTTGTATTATGTAAAGTCAGTTTGTTTAGACACTATGTTCGCTTAAACCGTAAAAATAAAAATATTAATTGATTATAAAGACCACACTGTGTCATTATTCATTCAACAACACAAAATATTGCTTTTGTTACTGGACTCATACTCAGTATGAGCCTGGTTTAACATCTGATTTTAATCGACATATTCACTAACTCTTATATCATATGCGAATAGCTTTCTGATTGCTTAGCTAAGACCGTGTTTCATTACATGTAATTATATGAATTGGTTTATGTTATAATGTCTTAAATAATTTAACAAAAGTAGCTAAATTATGTTTAGTTTGGTATTACGCACTTCTTCTTTTGCATATTTATTTCACAGCTACAACTGTATGCATTCAATTTTATTTTATACCAAAACTTTTCTAACGCACTTTCAAAACCAAATGGCTTAGCTGTATTATCTGTTCTTTTTAAAGTAAGTTTATTTTTCTTTAGTTCTCTTCCCATTATGCCGATAATTAAAATAAAAGAGATTTACTAGTGGATGTAAACTAAATAATAAAGGTACATAAATTGCCGTCTTGAAAAAGTAGAATTATTTATTGTTGTTACATTTATTTAAGAAACAAAAGTTGTGTTGGTTTGAATGCATTTATGACAATATATATGTATATAAAAATATATATTGTTGTTAATTATGTAAGTGAATATACATTTTATCAAATGTAATAAACATTATCATTGTTTAGTGTTGTTTGTGAATATATTGACATGTAAAACTAAATAGCAAACTGTATAATCTGTCAACGAGATAGGAGCGATGGCTCAGTGATTGAGGCTTTTGACCTTCAATTAGCAAATTGCATGATCAAACAACTATTTATATATTTTGGTTAAATCAGCCGTATGTTATTAACATCAATGATATTTAAAATGTGGCTCCAATCCAAGTATATGAATGTCTATTGAGTAGAAGAGTTGTGGAGAAAATCGACTGAATAAAGAACCTGAGATACGTTTTCTCACTATATCTGGTGGGACAGACCTAAAATTCATTGCTGTTAGATTATCTTTAAACAATGATATATATGTATAACATAATGTTATGGTCAGTAGGACGATAGATTATTTTAATCTATTTAAACATTCTAAATTTGAATACTTACAATTGAAGGACTGACTTGATATTTGATCTTTTTAATATATAAGTAAGCTGAATACCTATTAAATCTGATTTAAGATTTATGAAATCCCGGGTTTTATTTGTATCAATTATGAATCATCAATAATCAGTATATGAATATATAAATGGTACATGCTATTTATGCTTACAGATATAAGTAGTATGTAGCACCACTCAGAAATGGAATGCCTGCCAGAAGAAGATTGAAATAAACAGAACAGGAAAGGAAGCAAAGAGCGGTTGGATTGACAACAGAACTGAAAGGATCAAGAAGTACTCCAAGAACAACTGAAGGAACATGTGCGGATGATGTACTGAGTCTATGGTTTTCATGTTTTACGAAAGCACTCTGTAATCTTTCATAAGACAGTAAATTAGTCAACCCTACCTAAGTTTTCGTCCACTAAATATATATAGTATATCTGGACTGGTGTTCTCAATAAAATTAGCCATATGGTTCATAAATTGCCATAATTTTTTGATGTCAGTCTTCAGAACGACTGGATTCAATTGATTGAATCTCCACAAAAAAGTAGTAAGAAATATATTTCTTAAACAAAGTTGACCAGTACAATAAATAGAAATTAACTGTATCTTAATTACTGATTAAATTACTTTCAATTAATTTATTTCTGTAATCTTTCAGATTGGTGATCAGTCGTCAGCTGATTTGGAAGCATTACTATCTACGGCAGAGCAGGTTCAATTGAAAGGTATACTGTAGTCCAACTCTGACTATATTTTGAAACGATAAAAATATATCAAAGTAGACCGCTCTTTGAAATTAAACAAACCGTATGAATCTATTACCTTGATCCATAATAATGTTTCTTTGCTGATAAAATAGATTATAGACATTAGTGTGCTTAGTTGTAATGAGTATAATAAATGCCGTTCCCGGCAAGCTGTTGAAGTTTGTTTGTACCCGTTACATGCTCGAAAAATTGTGAATGACGTTGCATGAATTATGGATTTTTCTAACAATCTCAGATATCTATCTAATGAGATAATTTTATTATTTAATATCATTTCATTCAAAGTTAACCTGTCAAACAGAATAAAACAACTTAACATAAACAGACATTGACAACCCACAACGGAATTCGTAAATAATGTGCATTAGCCAGAAAATAAAAATGTCCTCTATAAGCATGTTACTAAAATTGAATATTATTACTGAAGAATGAATTTGTAATCAAGTAGATTACTTTTGTCAGTTCGCAGAAATTTGTTTATCATTATCTACATACTATTATGAATTTAGATGAAAATTGAAAGACAGTATTTACATAAAAGAATGTAACTTTAATTGTGCATTACACGTTATCCTATGTATAACAGATAAGATGGCTAAAAATTAGTTTCAGATTTTTGTTTGTTGCCAATATTCGATTATGTAGATGTACTCATTGTCTAATTGTTTTTTTTTATTATTCTTAATTTTATTAATGAACAAATGTTTTTTAAAGGACAATCTAAAAGGCTTCATGGTTTGCTGTTGGATGCTGTTTTACCGTCTACTATGCAATATATTACTTACCAAGGCTCTTTACCGTTTCCTGCCTGTTATGAGACTGCAACATGGATTTTGCTTAATCAACCGATTGTAATTACAGAAACTCAGGTAAGACAACATATATTAACAATCTATAGACCATTTTTAATAACTCCAAATGTGAAAATTTTTGTGTTGAATAAATTATCCTAGCAACTAAGCGTATAATGAAACCATAATTATAAGTTTCCTATAGAGAATAAATATATTTAAATTAAAAGCTGATCTTAGTTAGGCTAACATTTAAAACGTCGATGCACTAGACGTCTGTTTTATTATAGCAAGAGACTTCTGAGCAGTGTACATCAACGACCCTGCAAACGGCAATCAAACTCAGGACTTCCATCATGTATGTGATCATATAGGGCATATGCTTTCATAATAAATATTGACGAACCTAAATTAAAACAATTAGTCCTTTTTGGAAAATTTCGATAATGCAATGAGAAGACGAAGTTCATCAGAATTATTTACGCAATAGATTTCAAACAATCTGACCACACATATACTTGTTAAGACATTTTTATATGAAAATTAAAAGGTCAACTAGACAAAGTAAGGGTAAGCCATAACACGGGAAAAAAATATTGAAGTACACAAAGACAAATGTGATAACCACTCTCAATAATAAATCAGTATTATCAGGGTAGGTTAAGGGAAAGGACAAATTGTTTTTGAACACATAAAGAGGGTTTCAGTTTCCGTATAGCTAAGGCTTCAATAAATCTTAGTATACGTCCTTGAAGGCTTTTGTACAATACTACAAATGCTGACTTGATATCAACCTTATGACCAGCCTCCATCACATGTTTCGCAATGGAGGAAGATGTGTGTCTATCCTTTGATTTTATTTGACCATCGGAATTCATTTGCTTCTGCAGCCATTTTAGTATGTGTTCACCCACCCTTATTTGGAAATTACGATTGCTCTTCACTATGTACATGTTTGATAGGCACAATCGGATGTAACACAATCGGTTACATGCTGTTTGGATTTTCAGTCAAATGTAAACCTTGTCTTTTCAATAATGACAAGCTGGCCGCTGCATAAAATGTCCAAATGATGGCTAATTATGGCCAAATTATGGAAATAACCAACAATTGTTGACCAACTAATTATTAATAAGAAAATGCTAGTTCCTTGCACTGCCTTCTAGAATATCAGCGTCACATGCTACGGTCGGACGGTAGCATAACTAGTCTCCTTACCAACTGGCTGAATTATCATGGCGTTACAGCCAATAATAATAATTATAAATACCCATGTTTTTCTGCACAATTTTGATTCCTTCCCAATAGTCACTTTTCCTGCTTCTTTCGTCTTCTGGTTTGTAACTGTGGGATTCTACACTTTCGACTGCCGTTAGTTGTATATCGTATCCTGTCGTCACCAAGTAGAGGACGTAAAATTGGCAATAAAACCCAGCTTTATCTGACACCAAAAATCATTTGGAATGAATTTGTGAACTGCTTTCCATGCACGGCTTCACAGTGTAGAAGTTGGTAAGAATTCTGCCTGATACTGCCGATCTTCTGAATTATACCAAAGTGTTGGAGGTGGTTCCATAGAATTCTCTTATCATTACAACCAAATGCTTTCTCATAGTCAAGGAAGTTGATGTATAGTGACGCGTTCCATTCAATTGATTGTTCAACGATGATCCGTAGTTTAGCTATTTGGTCTATGCGCAATCGATCCTTGTTGATCTTGAATCTGGGTGTCTACGGAATATTTCATTTTGGTTCAGAAACACTGTTAAGACCTTTTCCTGATACCGACAGAAATGTGAAACCTTTCTAGTTCTCACACCTGATCAGATCTCCCTTCTTTAGTGTCTTGATATAATAACCCTTACAGTCTGTTGGTACATGTTCTTCCTCCGAAATCTCTTTGAAGAGAATGTGTTGCATCTTTAGGATTAATTCTATATCTGGCTTCAGTGCTTCAGCTATTACGCTGTCTGGTCCTGTTGCTTCTCAACATTAGATATGTCTTGTGGCCATGCTAATTTCTTCAGTTGATGATGACGTAGAACCTATAAGGAGGTCTGTATGTGCTCCTTTGATGTCCGATAGGCTCATCGTGGCTTATTTATCCAAGAGTTCTTCAAAGTGTCCTTTCTATTTATTCTTCTGTCCTTGAATCTCAGTTACTGGTTCGACTTCTTTGTTCATGACTAATCACGCTGGTTTACTATATTTATTTGTTATCACCTAATATATCATTTTTCATGTATTCTCTTCTTTTATCGATACAGATGAGTAAAGAAACACCAGTTATTATATAAGTCACTACCCGACAAATATGTTTAATGAGGATCTTTAGTACGAAATCAAAAGAGGATTGAGGTATCGTGTGTATTGTGTGCATGAGAGTTACGATCATAAAAAGAGGTCCACTACAGATAATTAAGGTCCGAAAGATCTATGAAAGCTAATTGCGATGCTTCTATGGTAGAATTTTTGGTTTGCATAAAATATTCCAGGATTTAAAAAAGCTATTATATATTGTTAAAAAATGGTCTCATAAAGCACACATATTGAAAACCAAACAACTAATTAGTAAAGATTATTCTAAATACAAATTCACTCAGAGTAATTAATGTGTACATTGTTCGACATTTAGAAATTCAACACTATACTTCATTTTGAATAGCAAGTTTTCTCTAAAATTACTCCGGTTGTGTAAAATGCTTTATCATATAAGTATAGTTAGTTTATACGAACTTATTAAATGGATATTATTTTCATGCCAAATTTTCCGGAAAATGTACTTGTTTATTTGAATGATGCAACATTTAAATAAAAGATCGAATGTGTTTTTCACTTATTAGTACTCGAAAAACACACATAAATCCAGCTTGCATATTATGCTGAAAATAGTTTAAAAAAAGGGGGACGAATATCCTAGAATCATTCAAACAAACAAAATCACATGCTAACAATCATTGGTTATTTTGTTACTAGAATCAATTGTTGCATAAAACTAATCAGTCCTTCAAAACTATGAATAACTTATCAACAATTCTGATTTGAAATGTAATATTTTGCAGTGATATTTTTTTGTGGTTTTGCTTAGTCAGTATGATCAACAACACTATATTCAAAGGGATGTATATAACGTTATTGTCGCCTCTTAAATATATTATTTCTAAAGAACTAATACTTATCTGTTTATCTTATCACACTAATATCTAAGCTAAAATCTCTTCGTCAACTTCGAATAGCGCCATTTCGAGGATCAGGCAGCATGGCTGACAATTACCGAACCATTCAAAAATTAAATAATCGATCAGTTCGAACAAACATTGATTTTAGAAAAAGTGTAAGTACGCTTGTTTGTTATATGAAATAATAATTAATCAATCCATGAGATAACTGTGGTTTCATATGAAATATTTTGATTAACTCTATTCGTTCAGTTTTATAAAGCTTAAATAATGAACATTTAAAATAATTGGTAACTGACATAAACTTGACAGATTCATATGCACGTCCAGTGAAATTTTATATGTCAATGGTCGTTTACATGTGTTTATTTTATAAGAATGAAGTGCTATATATATATATATATATATATATATATATATATATATATATATAATTAGAATAATACGTTTCAGAAGTCATCACAATCCAAATATTAAATGGAAAACACGAAAAAGTATTACGATAAGGTTTTCTTTAGATGACTTCATTGATAATACAAAATAACCTACAAAAACTTACTTACATACGCCTGTTAACCCCAATGGAGCATAGGCCGTCGAACATCATTCTCCAACCCACTCTGCCCTAGGCCTTCCTTTCCAGTTCTGTCCACTTGTTGTTCTTTTTTTTTCATATCTATCCCCATTGCTCGGCCTAATGTGTTCTTTGGTTTTCTTCTTTTCCTTTGGACTTGTGGATTCCATGTGAGGGCTTGCCTTGTGACACAGTTGTGTGCTTTCCTCAATGTGTGTCCTATCCACTTCCAGTGTTTCTTCCTGATTTATTCGTCTGCTGGAATCTGGTTTGTTCTCTCCTATCGTAGGTTTTAGCTGATAGTATCTGGCCAACGAACCCGACGTATTTTGCATGAACTATTGTTAATGAACACTTATATCTTCTGTATGATTGCTTTCGTAGTTCTCCAGGTTTCCGGCCCATACAGTAAAACTGTCTTGACACTTGTATTGAAAATTATGACCTTGGTGTTGGTTGACAGTTGTGTTGACTTCCAGATCTTCTTCAGTTGTAGATATACTGCTCATGCTTTAACAATCCGCGCCTTTGCATCTGCATCAGATGCACTATATTCATCAATGATACTACCTAGATATGTAAAGGTGTTAACTTAAATTGAAAAAACCTGAATTATTTATGTTATTCATTTAGATCGTTGTAGAAAGCCAAACTACACTCAAAATAAGTAACTAAGAACGTTTACAGTCATTTGTAAACGATTTAAATTGAAAATAGTAGTGGGCGTATTGTTAGCTTCAACAACAATATGATGCGAAGTGTTTCAAAATTGTTCTCCAATTGTAAGAAATTTTGATTTTACATCGAATATAAGTTTAAAATGAATTGTTTATTTCTTCATAGGGTAATATCTTGAAAGTTACTTTTATATAACGATTTACATAATTTATATTTTGGTTTATTTTAAAGCAACCCTACTGTTCAATACAAGCTCAGAGGACATATTTTGGTAAGATAATGTTTATGAGTTACATTGAATGATGTATATTTTTTTCTATATACTTGGTATAAATAACTACGATAAACACTATTTTGATATTTATGTAACACGTTACTTATGTATTTATTAAACCATAAACAAACAGTTTTTAAATTGACAGAAAACAAAATTCGTTTTATCATAAGAGGAAATATTCACAGTAAAAATGAGTACTATATATCAGCAACTTATGTCATATAGTACGTATACTTCAATTTTGTAACACAGAGGATAGTTAAAAGACTCAATTCTCGAAGAGAAATAAGAAAGAGTATTATTAATTTACAAGTAGAGGTCAAATTAACTATCAGTATACTTGGTTCGTTTTGGTTATATTATGAGTTTTCTGAGAAAAAAAGAGTATATATATATATATATATATATATATATATATATATATATATATATATATATATATCGAATTATATCTCTTATAATATTTGTTTTTAAAAATACAATCTTCTCTAACATACAATTAAATGAAAATTATTATTTCATTCCTTTTTTTCCTTACATGCATTCATACATCATTCTGAAACTGGTTACAATTTGATTTGGATCTTTGTGATGATAATGATTATTTAATGGTTAGTAGCAGCTTCATTGCCATAATCATTTCACATTCCAAAATTTTTCTTAATTATTCTTATTTTTGCATATATATATATTTAAAGAATTGATATTCATTTGATCATTTTTTTAAAATAGGTATTCATATGAACTGTTACTAATATGTCTTTATAGATTAAGTTTATTTTATTATGTAAAGAATTATACAGTTATCGGACAGCATTTTTTATTTTAAAGGTTTTTTTTAATAGAAATCTACCTCATCATCAGGTATTTGAAATGATATAACAATATTTTGATGTAATCAATTATGTACTAAACAATTATATTTAGTTACTTTCTTTGTCTGATGCATTAAACCATCAATGATTTCACTATAATCAAATTCTTCTGAATATTTCTATGTATAATTATATAAATATCTTCTTTATGTACGATTGTATATTTATGCATGTATATATTTATTATTGTACATTAGATAATAATATATTTGCTTAATATTAATTACAATCATTGTCTTTTGATGTTTTTTTTCAATTAGTTATGTTCACATGTAATTAAGAGAAGAAAATAAATATTTCTGAATGCTTACAACAGTTTGTATCGAATAATGTTCCATAATTAAAATTAACACAGACTGATAAATAAAGATTTTTGTGTAATAAATAAGAAAATTCACTTCGGTTACGTATTTGCTAGTTTCCTGATCAAGGTAACATCATGTTATAAGTTCACTGCTCTATTAAACTGAGGTTGTGCATGACACCCAACGATATTTTGAAATGAAAATGAAACAAATTAGCGGAAATCCGTAAAAAAAAACACGCTAAATGATTATAATAGTATACTTAAAGTATTTTAGTAGATTTACTTGATAACGTGTAAAGAAGTTGACATTTTGCTAAACGAGAAAATGCGTCAATGGAAAATCTAGAAGTTAGAGCATTGCTTAATGAGTTGACTTTTCAAATCTCACAAGACTGAAACCCAGGAGTCAACTATTTGCAAAGAAAGTCTAGTCGTAAAAAA